TCTTGACCCCCCACAGAGTTGGCTTTCCCATCATGATCGGCAGCATTATAGTCACCACGGGCTATCTGCTCGTTTCGCACTCGCTGTTCGCGTGGCATTGATGAAGGGCCCCCATCTAGGAGTTGACTGTGTCGATTCGCAACAAGGCGCACTTTACCTCGTTACCTAACGGACAGAAACTGTTCCAGATGCCACACTCATCAGGTTTTCGAACCCATCAGAACAGCACCAAGCTGGAGAGGAATCAGCATCTTATGCGCTGGCCATAAGTGTTGGTTCTGAAAAACCAACCAAAAAACCCACACAGAAAAACAGAAACGAAGAATATTACATAAAAATACATTTATTTTTACACATCGTTGTTAGAGTAGTGTGTAGTATGGATAACAAAACAAAGAACAACAATTAAGAGAATTAAAATAAATATAAATTAATTATTTACAATTAATAATGTCGCTGAACTGTGAAACAATTGTTAAATGTTAAATGTATGAATACGAATTAAATAAAAACGAAACAAATAAAATAGTTATTGCATTTTGTATCAGGGGAGAAAGTAATATGTTATTTAACAGAAACTATCCAGTTTTATGTGTTTTTGTGAAAAGTGTTTATTTGTTGACTTTTATGCTTGCCTTATAAAAAAGTATTAATATTTGAGTCTGTAGGAGGTAAATGTGATTTAGCTAATCAAGGCAATGCTTTTAAGTGAATTGATAAATTTGACTACCTATATCTCAATGAAATAATATTTTTTTTAAATGCCAAAAATAATGCTACAAGAAGTGCAATAACAGTAAAATATACTTTAAGCCCGCCCAGAAGCTTGCAATATTTTTTTGTAAGCATATTCCAGTAACAAAATCTAAAACCATTAATTTAAAAACAAATTTATAAAAATATTATTTTTCATAAAAACTATTACTTAATATGTGCCAGTATGGGATATCTTTTTACTAAATAAAGAAAAATACATCCCCTACTAATAACTCACGCTTATGAGCCATTCATTTAACGCTTGAAGACTTTTTGTTCATGTGTCAATAGCATTTCCACTTTTTATACCCGTTACTCGTAGAGTAAAAGGGTATACTAGATTCGTCGGAAAGTATGTAACAGGAAGAAGGAAGCGTTTCCGACCCCATAAAGTATATATATTCTTGATCAGGAACACTAGCCGAGTCGATCTAGCCATGTCCGTCTGTCCGTCTGTCCGTCTGACCGTCTGTCCGTCTGTCTGTCCGGATGAACGCTGAGATCTCGGAAACTATGGGAGCTAGGCTATTGAGATTTGGCGTGCAGATTCCTGAGCTTCTTACGCAGCGCAAGTTTGTTTCAGTAGACTGCCACGCCCACTCTAACGCCCACAAACCGCCCAAAACTGTAACTCCTACAGTTTTGATGCTAGACAGAAAATTTTAACTGAAATGTATTGTTCTCATCAATACCTATCGATTGACCTAAAAAAAGTTTGCCACGCCCACTTAAACGCCCACAAACCGCGAAAACCAGTGACGCCCACAATTTGCATGCTAGATAAAAAATTTTAACTGAAATGTATTGGTGTCGTCAATACCTATCGATTGATCCAAAAATAAATTTGCCACGCCCACTCTAACGCCCATAACGCTTAAATCTGTCTACCGCCGGTAGGTGGCGCATTTTAATTTCGCTTTGCTGCTTGCATATCTCCATTTCCCTTTGAGTAACGGGTATCTGATAGTCAAGGTACTCGACTATAGCGTTCTTCCTTGTTTTAGTTGACTTTTATGAATTTTTGCAGACTTACAATTGCAAAGCAAACAATTCAAAGAGAGGCGAGGGCCCAGACATTTCATTACTATGGCAATTATGCAGACGCAGTTTTCCAAACTATTTGCACTTCATGCATTGACTGCTTCAGCTTGTTTATTTTTCGACAGGGCCTAAGTATTCTGCACTTTGAGAAAATATATAACATTTATAAAATATATTTGCTTTAATATTAAACATTTTCACCAAATTGTATTATTGGTATTATTATATCACTCATAACATTTTTATTTCCATTTAATAGTAATCAGTGAATAATATTGCAAAACAAATCTGAGATGATCTTTTTTTTCTATTTTCCGTAAAAAATATTTTAAAACAAATCTGAAGTGATCTATTTTTTTCTGTGCATCTATTTGTGTGGCAGGTAACGCCTATTACATAAACATTTCTTATTTTTTTAGCATATATGTTGGATTTTATGCCTGGACAATTATACCAAATGTACGTACATAAAGTAACAACGTGCGTCTTAGTTAATTAGACTGTTGGTAGTTAAAGGGGGCGTGTATTTGTCAACCCGACCTGCGTTATGCAAAATATGAATAAGATATGGAATTCATATTATGGATGGGTAAACGATCGTTGGGGTTCACTGGGCACCATATGAAAGGTTTTTTCTCGCTATGCAAATAGGCATAGGCAGTTACGTATGGTAACACCAGTTTACAAAAGAAAATTGATGAAATACGCCTTTCAGGAAACCTTTGTTTTCCGGTAAGATACATCTCCCTGATTAAGAAAAGGGCACTTAAAATTTTTTCTATGGTACCAATTTTTTTTAAAGTGTAAAAAACGTTTTTCGCACTTTTTTATTTTATAACTCGAGTTGTGATAAACCGAATTCGGTCATTAAGGACTCATTTTACAGGTAATAGAATGCCCTTTAACTTTCTTATACACATCATTAAGTTCCATTCATTAGTTCAAAAGCTACACTTCGTCAAAGTTGAAAAATTTGGAAAAAAATCAAAAACGCTGGCATAAATGGCTTCTTTAAAAATACACGCGTAAAAACCGAAATTAGTTTTACGTTGTTTTCTTGATGGCTGAACCATAACGGAGAATATGCGCCATAGATCACGACAATCCGTTGGTAAATCGATTTTTAACAGATTTTTAAACGTATATACCCAAGTTCATTATTCGGGAGCAGCGGCCGTTAAACGTTATTTTAAATTTTCAGTGTTGGGGAACGTAAGAATTTGGTGCAAGTTGTTATGCATAACGTCAGTTTCTTTGCTATTAGCGCTGGGCAAGCTAAAGAGTATGCGATTGCAGTTACGAGGAAATCATTTGCATATATTTTTAGCAAGGAAACTGACGTTATGCATAACAACTTGCACCAAATTCTTACGTTCCCCAACACTGAAAATTTAAAATAACGTTTAACGGCCGCTGCTCCCGAATAATGAACTTGGGTATATACGTTTAAAAATCTGTTAAAAATCGATTTACCAACGGATTGTCGTGATCTATGGCGCATATTCTCCGTTATGGTTCAGCCATCAAGAAAACAACGTAAAACTAATTTCGGTTTTTACGCGTGTATTTTTAAAGAAGCCATTTATGCCAGCGTTTTTGATTTTTTTCCAAATTTTTCAACTTTGACGAAGTGTAGCTTTTGAACTAATGAATGGAACTTAATGATGTGTATAAGAAAGTTAAAGGGCATTCTATTACCTGTAAAATGAGTCCTTAATGACCGAATTCGGTTTATCACAACTCGAGTTATAAAATAAAAAAGTGCGAAAAACGTTTTTTACACTTTAAAAAAAATTGGTACCATAGAAAAAATTTTAAGTGCCCTTTTCTTAATCAGGGAGATGTATCTTACCGGAAAACAAAGGTTTCCTGAAAGGCGTATTTCATCAATTTTCTTTTGTAAACTGGTGTAATTAGGGGGTGCAATGAACCTGAGAAATGTGTGAAAAATAAACATAAAGTCCAAACCTAAACAGTTTAAACCAAAATATTAAATCCACAAAGTATAATATATTTAAATTCGATATTACTAAGAGTGAAATGGGTGAAAAATAAACATAGAGTCTAACCCTAAACATTTTAAACCATAATATTTAATCCATAAAGTATAATATATTTAAATTCGATATTACTAAGAGTAATACCCGATTTTGTATAATAATCCATAGTTTCATTTCAAGTGTTTAAATTCAGATCTCTTCAACAATATCTCCACAGTAGGCGTTAAAAAAGTGAATGAAATCCGCCTAAGTACCATTACCATCTCAAGTAAATTCGGTTTTTTCATCTTTTTTTTATGAAAAGCAAATAAAACGAGGCTGTGCCGCCCTGAAGCAACCTTTCACAATGCCGCAAAAATGTGCCAAAAAAAAGAAATTATAAAAAAGCCAAACCCCAGAAGGCAAGACCCGGGTCCAAAGCAAAGTGCGCCAATTTGAAACAGAGATGACGTTAATGGAGCAGATGCCAACAGCCGGTCTCAGTTTCAGACTCAGTTTGTATTTCAAGCCCGGCTTAGTGGAAAGAGAGTACGCAGCTACCGACCAAAGTTACGTGACATACTGTACACACAAAAAAATTAGGAAACACAAATTTGAATTTTAAGTAAACAAAAGTTTATTACATTTAATACAATTTGTAATACTATTCAAAAGTATTTCTTTGATTTAATAAAAAAAATACATTTTAACATCAATTTACGATATAATAGAATGCTTTATAAAATATTTTAAAAGACAGATACATTTAAAGACTTTGAAAATTCGTTATATATGATGTAACAAATTTTTTAAATATTTAAGCCTCTTTCTTTAAATAAAAAATTTTTTTCAATTAAACATTCTATGATGAAGTCAAATGCTGAGAGACAGATAAATCTAGGTTGCTTGAAAATTCATTTAAACGAAATAAAAAATGTTCATCCTGAAATCACTGAAAATTGAAAAATAATAATAAATTCTTAATCGTTGAAGCTAGCTAGAGAACATTTTCCTTCTAATGTGCCTCTTATACACAGTGAATGCTTTAATATAATGTGTTCCTACAAACTCCACATGAAGAAAATTTGCTAAAATTATTTCTGAAGTTGGTTTAATTTTTTCCAGTGCATTTTCCAGCTTTCCGCAGAGAGCGAGACTGCGGCTGAATTTTAGCGCGTGTTGCACGGTCGAAAACACTCTCGATTTCAGCTCAGTTGCCTTGCAGACGCGGATCGGACAAGTTGTCGATTGAAAAACGGTGGGCACTCGCAGAGGATCTATTCGAATCCTATCGTATCGAATCGAACCGAAAAAATACGTTAGTTTAATTAGGCCATTCGTATGTGCGTAGTGTTGGTTGAATGTTTTTTTGCCCTCAAGCCCAAATTACACTGCCGAAAATAGCAACAGACACTTTTTGACACAACTAACTTTCATTTTTATGCGATCCGAAATTTCTGCGCTATGTTTGCCCAGTTTATTAACATCAATTTAGGAAGTTAGCGTGTAAATGAAATTTACAGCAGTAAAAAAAAACCGAAAGAAGCCAGAAATCAATCAAAGCCAAAATGAGACAAGGCCAAACTGTAAATTAAAAACAAATATAAATAAAAGACACCGAAATAAAAACCAAAGCCAAGTGGAGACAAGGCGAGCTACGTAGTTACCTTTAACAACCAAAAAACACAAAACAGCAACAATACGAAGCTCATTGAACAAAAGTGAGAGTGATTTCCAAACCGCAGTGTTGTTGGATTTTTTTTTGTATTTACGCTTTTATTTAAGCCAGACCCAAAACACATTGGTATACGGGTAGTCGTGTGTGTTTGCATATCGCATCGGAATCGAAATCGCGTAAACAAAAGCGGCTAACGAAAAACTTGGCAACCAAATATTTCAAATATTTATCCAAATGACGCACCTGCTTTCGGGCAACTGACCAACCTCAAGTCGCAATCGGGTTTTTTAGAGTCTGTTGCGCAAACGCCTTAAAGTGGTTTAAAGAAAAAAAATGTTGAAAAATTCTGCAAAAAATTGTAATCATATCTGGTATGGCATGAAGTAATCGACTGTGTAATTGCAGTTTCTGCGGCTCCACATAAATGCTGACAACTGGCCATGTCTTGGCCAAAACAATGGGGCTACGCTAGCCTCTGGCTGCCTTTGCTGATCGGCCTGCTCTACAGTAAGTTAATGCCACCGAAATCGGTGGAAACTATATCGAGATCGGTTGCCTTACAACCGGTCCAACGACTTTAACCGATTCCGGCGACTGTCTCTCATGATCTCGAATGGCTCTTAGCCCAAACTCCACGACAAACGGCGGACTTTGGCCAAGTTAAGCACCCTGAGCTCTCCGACGAGCTCCAACTTGTTGCCGGTCTTTGTGTCAAGGTCGCCGGATCGCCGCAAATGTTGTTCGGCCTGTGGATCGTCTATGGGTCTCAATGTGATTTGTTTTTGGGTTTTAATTTTATGACGGCTTGGCTTAGAGTTACCTAATGGTTCTTGGAACAACTCGCTTGGGGATTAAAGTACAGGCAGTCCAAGTCATTGAGCCTTTCCATTTTTTGTAAGACTGGATCATTAATCAAATATAACCCTGACTTTTAATTGGATAGTTCTTAGGAAAAGATAACGACCCAAAAACTATTACAATTATTTTAATTACATTTCATTCTTATAGAACATACACATAATTATGTCAACTGTTTCATTTTTATTATAAAATTATAAATTACTAAACTACAATCAGATATTTTTTTGGTAAATATATTGATTTATATTTTTATGTTCTGCAGATCTTAGTAACCATTTTGTTGTTATTATAATAAATTGAATTTACCCATTCAAATATTATACTTTTAAAAATATAATAAACTTAATTACATATTCAAATTTTATACTTTTGACATAATAAATTAGATATTTAGTATATCCAGCTTTTCAAACGACCTTCAAAGTGAAACGAACCTGAAAGCCGTTAAAACCTTAAGCATACTTACGCATTGTTAGCCATCTGTAAATACGAAAACCCCAAACCATAAAAAGTGTTATATAACCCGCCCTGAAATTAACTGGCCTAAAATTTACATAAGTACTGGGGATCGGCCGGCAGATGGGAGAGATAAAATCATTGGGCACACCAAGTCAATTAAATCTTGTATACTTTCAGCACAAAATGCATCAGCTTTCATTGTGCCAAGGGAACTACCGTCCATATTATCCATAGTTTACTCCAACATACCACCGATTAAAAAGGGTAAGATGTTGTGGATTTATAGTCCGAAGTTCGAACCATTATTTAAATGAGCTTGTTTCAGGAACTGATTCCCGTTTGGGCTTTGGCTTTCGCCTGGGCGAGCATGCGGACTTTCAAGTGATGGTGGAACTGGGTCCTCAGAAGGAGACCCGACCCATTGGCGATCCCAACCAGGATGATCAATCGTTCAATAAGCGCCAGGTGAGCCAAGGCGATCAGAAGGCCCTGGCACGCCAACTTTACCGCCAGCAGGTGAAAGAGGAGGCCCAGAGATTGATGACCTCCACGGAGAAAAATGGGGCCAGCTGGCTGGAGATCTGGTCGAATGGCATGAAACCGCAAAAGCCCAAAAGCCAAAAGGACCGGGCTAAAAGGCCGGTGGTTAAAGAAAGTTCCCAAGAGCCCCCGAATGCCATGCAGCAGCTGCAGTTACTCTACAAAATGGCCACCAGTTCCAGCACCACCAGTAGCACCACCACCACCACCGAGATTCCTCCTGTCTTCCAAGGAGGATCCCTCAATCTAGGTGGTCCAAGTGGCTTTAAGCTGCCACCGCCTGCTCTCAGCCAGGATACAAACACGCTGAGCAATCCTGATCCCCTCAAGAACCCAAGTGAGATCACCAAGGACCTCATGAATGTCAGTCTGGAGTCGGACACTACTAGTTAATGATCAGTGATCACTATATACCTGTGTATATGGGTGCTTAGCAAATCTGTGTGTAGTATCGCTTAGCTATGTTTCTGTAAATAAACTTTAAACTTAACTTAAGTTAGCGAAATGTTATATTGAGCTGCCTAAAAGTAGGCAATAAGAAATTAACAAAAGTAAATATCTAATAATGATCATGTAAAATAAAAACGTGTAGAGTCTTAAAAATGTAAAATTATGTTGATGAATAAAACATGGTTAAAATTTAAGTTAAAAAAGCTGGTAATATTGCATTTGCAAGTAATTATTAAATTAGGTGGGTATTTATTGGGTTTCCAGAGCTCTTTAGGGCTTTTTGTAATACTTTGCTTAAAGCCTTATAAAATTTGCTTGAGTTCCGACTTACTTTCTGGTTAAGACTTAAGACTTCAGTTTCAAAATTAGGATCAACAAATATGTTCTTTCTGAGTTACGCTTTATTATGAACTTAGAAAATGTTTAAATTAATTACATAAATAATCAAGTATAGTACAAAGTTACGGTCTTTAATCAACTTAGCTACACTATCGGCATATTTTCACTACTTGCATAAGTATTTTGTTCATCTAAGCTAGACAATAGTTAGGGCTACATTATAAATTAAACGAAACATATAGGGCACAGCAGCTGATCGACAGTTAGGATCGATCGACCTTAGGATAGGCTCCATCCACCAGCCAGCTGTGCGCTCTGTGGACATACAGAATACTATAAATCATTTAGGCTACATATATGCATACAGTTACAGGTGTACGCTTATATCTAAAAGTAAATATTACTTATGAATATAGTCAATTTCCATTTAGCAGACGGGTGCATCGGTGTACAGTGTTTTTTTGGGTTTTTTTTTATAATGGGTATGAGATGTTTGTGTGTGTTCTTTTGTGCGAAGAAACCTTTCGGTATCTGTGTATGTATAAAAATAATGTCTTTCATTTCATGTTTTTCTCCGTGTTGAGTGTCCGGTGTTTCTGTTCTGTCCCATTTTTCAGTGATCAAGCGGTTGGCAAATGAAAACCACGTAATCTCAAAGGTGCAGTAGCAATTACTATAACTTGTGCGGATGATGATATTTGATGGGATCACTTTTTTCTCGATAAGTGATGTCTCCAACTCTTGGCTTTCATTCCCTTCCCCTCAACTGGAACAGTAGAAGCACCGACTGAGGCTCACTGGCAAAACGAATTCACTTTCCGTACTTTAGGGGAACACCCTCCTCCTGGGTGACATCGCTGATCTTAACGCGCTCTGGGGGATTGTTCCAGGACTGAAGTTTACCAGTGCCGAAAATGGCGAACACAATGGGTCCCGAGATATAGGTGGCCGCCAGAATCCAGAACACAATTTGCCACGAGTGGAAGGATTCCTGTAATTAATAACATGTATTTAATTATTATTTTATCTGAATCGTTTTTTTTCATTTAAACTCACATCTTTGTAGGTAAGGGCTCCCACCATCCACGTAGAAAGGAATCCTCCGAAGGAAGACAGTGTGTTGGCCAGTCCAAAGATGGTTCCACTGAAGTTGGGTGCAATATCCAAGCCATTGCCCAGATAACCAGCGGTGACAGCTCCGTGGGCAAATAAGGCCAGCGAGAAGATCGTCACGGACCAGGTGGCATCGTAGCCCAGGAACACCTGCACTATCATCAGCAGGCCCGGAATCACCAAAGCTGTAAATAACGAATACGTATTTATAATAATGGTTTCACCAGAAAAATTTTTAAATACGAATTGATTTTTATCACAAAAATCTATTTTGGTTGAACTTGCATTTTTTATACAATTTATTTATAGACTGGATAGGATGAACCTCATTTTTCTAGTTCTTCAAGAAGATATATAAAAGAAAATTTGAGCAACACAAATTATTATTCTTAGGAAATCTCTCGACCTACTCCCTATATGAATAACTATTTTTTCTCTAACCAATTCTCAATCTCAATTCGGAAATCTAGTTCTATCTCCAAAAACAATATCAAGACTAACTGTATCTTTATGTCAAGATCGCTTCTTCTTGAAAACAAACTCGAAAATACTTTTGTCTTGACTTCAGGAATGTTTCTTTTCGAATTAATGAGAAAACAATTTCTCAAACTAAGAACTGCTTAACTTTGCCTATTTTCGGTTTCAATATGTCTGGCTATACATACCAAAAGTAGTAAACAGTTTCCTAGTAGCCGTCGTGCTCAAAGTACCCCTCTTGCGCAGGTAATCGGCAAGATAGGATGAGGCCACAGCCATCACGTATTTGCCCAGATAGGGAAGCGAAGAGAACAAGCCGTTCTGCAGGAGATCAAAAACTGTTAGTAGAGATAAATCACCAGAGATAACTTAGTTATCCAACCCACCTGCTTGATGTCGAAGTGCAGAATCTTGGACATGAAAGTGGGCAGCTGGTTGACCACCGTGAAGAAACCAAAGACGGCCAGTCCATGACAGATGATGATGGCCCAGACGGCGGGTGAGCAGAGCAGCTGGCCCCAGGGCACGTGACTCGGACGCTTCTTGGAGGTGGTGGTGCCAATGGCCTCTTCGATCTCCCGCCTCTCCTCGGCAGAAATCCGGGGATGGGTGGCCGGGGTTTCGTAGACAAAGGTGAACCAGGCCAAGGACCACAACAGACCCACAGCTCCTGTCAGGTAGAAGACACTGGCCCAGCCGGCAACGGAGATCAGGTAGCCACAGATGGGCATGGTTATTGCAGCTCCAAGGGAAGAAGCTATGGGATAAATAATAAAGACAGGTTAGTATTGAAAAAATAGGTAAAACAACTTAGAAGCTCTCTTGGGTTGAACCTCTCAAGCATTTTCCTAATATTTTTTAAGGTTGGTTTAAAGAAAACCTCCTAGAAAGATTCTTAAAGTCTCATTTAGACCCACACTTACCCATCATATTAGACATGAACTTGGAGCGCTCCATGGGCGGAATCCAGACGGCGGCCACTGGGTGAATGGCTGGCCAGGAGGCGCCCAGCATGAAGCCGAGCACCACTCGCACCACGATGAGCACCACATAGTTGATGTGCGCCGCCAGCGGGGTGATGAGGGTGAGCAGACTGGCCCACAGCATGGAATGTCCAAAGACGCGGCGTCCACCGATCAGCTCGGCCAGACGACCACCAGGCAGTTCGGTGAGGATGTAGCCCCAGAAGAAACAGCCCAGGACGAAGTTGGTCTGGTAGGTGTCCCACGAGAAGCGCTCCTCGTACACATCCACTCCATCCGGGGATAGGGAACTACTGTTCCCAGACGTACTATTCCCCGTTAAAGATGTGGCATTTCCCGCCAGGGTGACATTTCCCGCTGGTGAGGTGACATTTGGTCGGACCATGTCCACAATAGCAATGGTGAGGTTCACTCGCAGGGCGTAGTTCAGCATGAAGCCGAGCATGGTCAGCAGATTCAGCACTTGGCGACATGACAGGAAGTCTGGAGGGGAGAGAAGAACGCAGCTCGATTAATAATAGAATCCAATGCAAGTCCGAGCATTGATACTAGCGAAAAAGCCCAAGCTCCGTCGTCTGGGTCACCAAAAGGTTAAGCACTTAAATTTCAGCTCTGGAATATTCCCAGAAAACCGAAAGTCAGGCGACCAGCGACTACAAAATAAAGCCCACCCAATGACCGACACAATTTCTGATAACAAAACTTTACTTTATAGGAATTGAATGTGGTTTTATATCACAAAGAAGATTCGCAAAAATATTTCTATGACTAAGAAATTTTAGGAAGTATAATATAACGAAAATAGATTGTATAGCCAAGCCGTTTTTTAAACGAGAGAACTCCAGGAGGGCTAGTTTAAATATTTATGTTATTGAAAAAGATAATACAAAATTCTAGAAAAATATAATTAAAGAAAATAAGTTATGTGGCGTTCAAATAATTATTTAAAATACCTTTAAGACAAGCATTTTTCAAAGCGCTAAACCTCGTCTATTATATTAAGAAATTCTAGGCAAGTATATTTAAAGAAAATAAGTTATGTGCTTCTTTGACTGAAGCGTTTGCAGAATCATTTAGATTCATATAGTAATATAATCGAACAACAATTAGGAAGGTTCTATAAGTCCATAAAAAGCTTACACGCGCTTCGTTTACACCCGTGTAAACTAAATTGTTATCAACTCACCATATCCCGCCCACTATATTATCTGATGTAATCTGTTGTTTTCATTACACGATGCAGCCCAGATAAACGCATTAATTACCCATATTAATGAGCCAATAAAATCGCAATGATAAAACTTAACTGTCGTTGTCAGGTGACCTCAATAGCATACAGAAAGGGCCATGAATTTGATTTGAGGATCGCCTGGCAGTGGGTGCAGCTTGAAAGTTAAGGAGAACCGAATCAGGCATTTATTTTTCATGTTTTGGAGTCGAAGATACACTTTCAAAGATCATTAAGTGGTGACCATAATCAACTCGGACTTCGCCTGTCATCTTTTTGGGTGGTTATTAAGTGGCAAAGTGCATTGTTCGAGGTTCGGGTTGAATTTCTCGCAAATCACATAAATAAATTTCGAGTGCCGTTGAACTCCATTGAACCCCTTTTTTTTTTTTGATTTGGGGAAATGTTCGCAAAGTCTCGGTGTAAATGTATATAAACCGATTATTGATGCCGGTCGGCGGTCGGAGTGTTAAACTCGCTCCAAACGACTTTCCCATCAAAGTAATGTTCGCTATCAGCTGCGGGGAAGCGTCTATCGGGCCGGTCTATCAGTCTATCGACTGTCTGGCCGGGACACGCCCACCCCGCTGATTATGGCCCCAATATCATGTTAATGTCATGCGAAAAAATAACGCCACTCGACTTGTCTAGACATCGGCGAGCATCATCAAACGAGCGGTGCACAACAATAAACCGAGACACTCAACTTGTATTCAAATTAGCACTCGAAAATAACCGAAACTGAACCATCAAAAAAGCGTTAAAAAATAAAAATATCTAGTCGTGTTTGCTATAAATTCTCGATCCCATATAACCAGAAAAACGTGCCCGACATACACAAAAAAAAGAAATAAACACGAAATATATATCGGCAAGGTTTCGTCTTCAACCAGTTTCTCTTTTTAAATCGGAAGGGTTCGAATCGGATAGAATTGGATCAGAGCTTTACCAAAATCTCGAAAGATATTGCGAATACGTCAATGGGAAAGTTTAAATCATTAGCAGGAATTTAGCTGGAATTTGTTAA